TTAAGACCGTAGAACTACCTTATAATTTGACATATTAACTTTTCTCGCGCAACTTTGCTACGCTCGTTGATTTCAATATGGCTGTTTTCAAAAGCAGTTACATTCCTCGCAAATCGCAGCAGGAAGTATTCTTATTGGAATACATTTTCTTCCGTCTTCTTAGATGCTTTTGGAGGAATGTTGTCACAGAGCTCAACATTGTCGAGCAATTTGCACGCAACCACGTCGTCTAGTTGCGCATGCCAATGCTGACCGCGTGGCCGCAGAGAGGGGTGAGACGGTGGGTCAATCAATTGGCTACCAGATACATCTCGAGTCGAAGTAAATATAAGTATTTTTCTCAAAATCGAAGTCGCATTGTTATATACCTACATATCTGTAACATAACTCTCAAGTTGTCATGTACCTAATCACTTCCTGAGTAGGCACTAAGCGTGCGTGCATGCTATTTTTAGGCCTTGATAACGCTTACTTACAGCATAGAAACCAACCATAGAAAACTACCAGACAAGGAAGCTGAGCAATTTTCACCCAAAACTATTCTCGAAGTATACTAAAGGCAATTTGGAAAGAAGGAGATCGGAAAATTTAGGTTCTGGGGGTCAGTTGACCTGCTCAGCAATTTCTAATGCTGAGCGCGATTCGTGTGAATGAATAATAAAAACCTGCTGAGCCGAATTTTCTAGGTTGTCACTACAAATATTCGTTAACGACAAGGCTAACATCAATTTTGCAATCAGATCATGAAGAACTCGCTAAAATACCTTTAAATCGGTCAGGACAACTAGGGCTCCATGTAAACTCGACAAGTATTCCAACCCTCGTCAGAAACGATTGCACCTCAGCAGTCAAAACGGTATTAGGCACTGAGGAGTGGACCACTGAAAACTAATGCAACGAACACCCAACGCTTTTGATAGTACACGCACTGCCCAAAGATTATTAAGAGCTTTATTGGCATCGCCCTGCACCCAGGGATTCATCACAGTGCAACTGGTTCAAATCGCTCCATCATTCGCCCAGAACATTAAAACAGGGAACTGGCCTCGTATTTGCTTAACTTGACCGTCTTTTATGCACATATGCCGCCCTTGTCGGGTACCGTAACCATCATAATGATGCTAAGAGACAAAGAACAATCAACACTAGCGTTAACTCACTAACCACTTTTCCACCTCATGGAAGCATCTTATAGTTATGCACTGAGATTGTCGAACATCTGCGCATGCTTCGGACAGACAAAGCTCGTTGCCGTGATCCTCGACCAACAGTATTCATATCCTTTTACCTTATTCTCCGAGCCACAGTAAATTCAGAAGAGTATTTTACAAGCGCACGTATACTTTCGATAAATTCTCGTCAGGCAATCTATTTATATGGGAAGGGGTTTAAGTTAAACAAACGATCAAAAATGCACGTCTTTTCTTACAAGCGGGGCGTGGGAATTGGGGAAAAGGGTCAATAAAAGAATGATGGTTACGCGGGGAGGGCTTGGTAGAGCCTGTCTAGGGGAGAGGGGACGGAGGGGCGGGAGACAAACAAAAAGCGAATGATTGCATGCCATTTAGTGACTGTGGGCCACGCCAGCTGCGGAGCTTGTACGAAATTCTTTTGTGTACACAAAGCCGGCTTCAGCAACCTGATAGCGGTCGCTTCTGCTGTTGCTAGCAGGCGCTGATCCAGGGACTTTGGATAGTTTTGCGGGACCATATAAATTACCTTGAAGGCTTCGAAAGTATACGTAAGCTTGCTAAATACTCTTCTGACTTCTCTGATGGAAATATTTGCAACTTTAGAACCGTCCGCAGTAACTTATTTGTTTTCGTGTGCTCAAAGGACAACTAAAGCATAAGGCATAATTCATAAAAAGGCCCTGTGGTGGGTTTGGCTACTTCCATTCA